GTGTATATTCACTATACTTCAGAATTACAGATATTACATCTTGAAAGTATGTACAAAATAAGAAGTTTCACCGGAAAATGTCATCTAAACAAGTAAGTAACATGTCTACCAATTTTGTTCTGACCAATTAAAAAAAGGTTTAACAATAAATTGCGCTACCAATGATTGTAAAAGTTAGCTCAGATCACATCAAACCGAGAAAATTATTATTGTTATACTTTGTTCTCAAATTGTTAATGTTAACAACATCAACATTGTGTGACTGCATGTATATAATGTGTATTAGTCGTATCTGTATATTTCAAATTCTGTAGAGTCTAATCTCTAATTGTCATACCATTCGAATGTCATTGAAAGAAATTATTATTTTAACCTCAATAACTCTCTCCAAAATGACAAGTTTAGTTATTCAAGCTGCTGTAAGAAGAGGCTACAAATGATCCGCCACCTGTAGCATCCACACGATATAGCCTACTAGCCAGGACTCCTTTTTTATGTATGCAGATAAGTAGTGATGTAATGATGGATAGATGAACGGCGGCAAACTTTGAAACCAACCTAAACCACTCAAATTAGAAAGCATTATTACAAGGTTACCGTTGTGAAATGGGCTAAGGTAAAGAGATCGTTTTGAACACTGATTGCTGGTTATGTACTTTCTCAATAATTGATTTTGGATCATTTTTAACCAAAAAAGTTAGGGAATGCAGCTTTAATAAACCTTCTCTGCAATTGGATCCACCTCATTTTATACGTTCACTTGCCATAGCATTACACATGCATTGTGAGGACTCCTTTTTTATGTATGCAGATAAGTAGTGATGTAATGATGGATAGATGAACGGCGGCAAACTTTGAAACCAACCTAAACCACTCAAATTAGAAAGCATTATTACAAGGTTACCGTTGTGAAATGGGCTAAGGTAAAGAGATCGTTTTGAACACTGATTGCTGGTTATGTACTTTCTCAATAATTGATTTTGGATCATTTTTAACCAAAAAAGTTAGGGAATGCAGCTTTAATAAACCTCTGCAATTGGATCCACCTCATTTTATACGTTCACTTGCCCTAGCATTACACATGCATTGTGAGAAGAACAGCATGACTTTGAAAATCATGCAGTGTGTCCCCACACTGTCATTTTACTCATTTTTTTTTGTATGCAGACAATTTCGCGTAGGTATTTATTTTTTTTTCACATGGTCTTTTTCCTCACTTTTTAAAAAGACTGTAGGGATTAACATTTTCTTGTGTCCCAGTATCAAAATATAAAGATTAAAATTTAAAGATGTGTCTCCCATTTTAAGATCTATTGTCCATTCCTCTTTTTCCAGATATGCCTGAATTTTTTCCACATACAGATCATTTCATTGTTGTTTAAGATTGCCATCTACATCATGCATCTTCATTGATTGACACATCTTCACAAAATTATTGAATGTTTTCTATTCCACATCTTTTACAATTAAACTTATTTGCTTTAATTTCTGTATGTCTGTTTATACTTCATTGCATCTACATCCACTCTCATCATGCATTTTATGCATTTGGTCTTTAGTCATTTCTAATATAGTGCAAATTTGTACAGGGTCATTTTGTGTTGACAATTTCAGAAACTTCCCTGGCTCAAATTTTGATTTTGTCAGTATTTTTATTTGTATTATTATTTTTTTTTTGGAAGAAAGATAAACATGTATAGTCATGAAAGCCAAAATATTAAATGTTATGGATTTGTGCTAACTGAATAATCCACTATTTTGTCAAAATGTCAAGTTTTACCTGAGATTCAGAGCCAAATCACAGGGGGGTAAAAATTACTTCAGAAAGATTGCAGAATCTGCTGACTTTAGCAATCTTTGTTGCATTAACTGCTAATGGTGACCAGTAAAAAAATGGGGAAAAGCACTTATCATTTTTTATCCAAAGTTTGCATTTTTATTTGGACCCCCTCTACAAAATAGTGGATTACTCAGTAAATATACATTAATGGCATTTAATATTTTGGCTTTCTTCTTCATGTATGTATTTATTTCCAGAAAAAAAATAATACAAAATCAAAAATGTGAACTGGGGACCTTTGGTTGAGTTGACACAGAATGACCCTATGGTCTTTTCAAGAGAACCATCACCACCTCTTAGAAGCCTCTCTCTTACTGCATTTAATTTATCCCTGCAAACAAGTTTGTCTTGAATCAGAGATTCCTAAAATTCTCCAAATTCACATGACTGCTTTTCATTTCAGTCTCATTACATAATGAGATACTGACATTTCTCTTTATATACACAAAATAAAATAAAATAAATAAATAATGCATCTTTTATGTCATATTCTTCTTCGGATTACAATACATTTAAAATTTCTCCGTGATCTTCTGCAGATTTTCATTTTTGTTTTCAAATGTGATGGTATTATTACCTTCTTCAACAACAACATGAAGAAAAGGGACGGCTGTATCTTAGAGACTTGATAGTGTATTCTGTTGCAACTGAATACAATCCAAAACACTGTCAAAACATTCTCCAGTTTTCAGATAAATTGCCTAACTCACATCCTGCTGGAGGTTTCAATCCATCCATTTCTCAATTACTTCTTAACCTCTGATGTCATGTTATGTGTTACAAGCCAATCACAGCTTTACAGTGTTAATCAGGAAAAAAATGTTCCAGTGATGCAAACAAAATGTAATTCTGCTTTGAAGCAGCCCTACAGAGAACAATAGAACATAGTAAATTTTTCAGTTACTTTCAGTTAATTCATTGTTGATTTAGTGACGTCATCATCCAGCTCAGTTCAGTTTTCATCCAATAGTGTCTTGCAATCAAGTTGATAATCTTGCCAAATATTAAGTGTGTCCCCATATATGCAAACCAAAAGGCGCTGTGGCAAAGAACCCAAAGTCCATCTATGACAGAAATAGAGGAAAAGGAATCTAGGCTCAGTTGGGGGGCCAGTTCTCCTCTGGACAGGTGAAACAACATGGTGGGGTTTAGTTCCAGGCTGCAACACAAGTCAGATTGTGGACTGGTATTATTTATTTACAAGACTGTATCATCACTTACACACAAGTGGCAGATTAAACTCATAACATACATGTATTCTATTGGCACTGTTTTTTTTGGACAGGCCCCTTATAATAAACTATAAACTTTGACTCATAATGTGGTTTTCTCTTTTTTTTTTTCTATGTTTCCACTTGCTTTATAATTGTGGTTATCAGTAAATTTTAAGATAAAAGTTGATTTTGGTTCAAGTAAATTGGTATAGTAACGTAAGTTGTAATATCTACAGGCATCAATATGCCAATACCTTAAACATTGTCACCATTTTTTTTTATTTAGCATAATATTTTTACAGTATATGTTGATAATTCATACAGTACATTACTGTTTTGCATATTCTTGGACTCTGTCATAAAATCAGCTTTGAACGTGTTTCAGGATAATTCTCGTGTGTGTGTGCAACGTGACATTATATAGGCACATTTGTATTTATGGGGATTTATTACATTCCAAAGTTTGCAATTTCATATTTAACAGCTAATGGATTTATAAGCCATCCAAACCATTATTCCAGTAATACTCCCAACAATTATTCTAGACATTCAATATGACTATTCAAACGTATCCAATATGCTTGTAAATGCTACTGCTTATGTTAGCTTTTAATATATGGTTTTATCCTGATTAAAGTTTTAATACAGTACGGCAACTGCACGTCCATGTTTAACGCTTCTCATAGCTATGTGAAAATAAGTGTATAATTGTAACAGTTAATTGTTGGAGCTGAGCTCAGAGAGAGAGAGACAGAGAGAGAGAGAGAGAGATGCAGAGCAGGGGGAAGCGAGGAACAGTATTAAGAACCGCTGCTGTAGAACACTGATTTTGAAACTTGTGAATCCATTAGAATCGTTAGAAGACAGAATCGCGATTCATATATGAATAGATTT